TTTTTCTTTATGAATAGAATTGGAGCTCTTGTTGGAGATTTTGAATGGCGTATAAAATTCTTTGCTAAATTCTTGTCAATATATGTCTTGAGTTCAGCCATCTCATCTTGCGATAAACTGTAAATTGGTCCAAATGGTGGCTGAGTTCCTTCCTTGAGGTCGATTGAACAATCATATGGGCGATGCTCAAGAAGAATATCTGCATTTTTTTTCTCAAAAACGTCTTGATACTCCTGATATTGACTTGGAATGCCACTTGAAGTCTTTACGTTTTCAGAAATAGGTGCAGCATAAATAGCAAAAGTTGATCCTTCTTTTGCTGCGTGTATAAATGCTTTTGCACCTATCAGTACGGGTTTTACTATACTAGACTTATAATTTTTTACTTGGTTCGTAGAACTATTAATAACGCTTTCGGAAAAGTCAAGTTTACGTGAATTCCAATCTATTCGAGGGTTATATTTTTCTAGCCAGGATAAACCTAAAATAACTGGATTAGACGGGGATTTAATTATGTTAAAAGCTATGTAGCTATCATGACCGTCTATTGTTACTTTTATAGGATGAGTTTCATGAGTGACATCTCCAGAAGACAAGGGACGACCATCTATGACTTCTACATGTACTGGTTTAGGTTTCTGTACAAAGGGTATTTTACGACTTTTAACAAATTGTTCATCTAAAAAACATGCTGAGGCTCCCGAATCTAATAAAGCAGAGGCTTTGTAATTCTTAGGTCCTAAATATAAGTCTATTATAAAACAAGGAGAGGATTCTGAGGAGAGGATAGGACCTTCATTAGGAATTGTACAAGGTTCCAGCTGCACGGTCCCTATTGTAGCTGGATGAATCCGTTTTCCGACATGTTGTCTTCTTTGACCGTCGTATCCCTCATTTTATAGTTGCGTCGTTTCTTTGGACAATGTTGAGCAGTGTGCTTAGGTTCTCCGCAATATAAACATAATCCTTCTTGACGACGACGAATCTTTTCTTGCTCAGTTAGGGGTTTAAAACGTACCGCGTCAATTTACATGTCTTCTACTTCTGAATGTACGTTTGGCAAAGATGTTGATGTTGCCATTGAGTAATAACGTTGAGGTTCCCGTGAATGATTCTCGGATCGAAATTCAAAAAGTCGATTATCACATTTTACCGCAAAATCGATTGCTTGACTCAAATTTTGAAGATCAGGTAAGTTGAGCATCAATTTCTTTACTTCGTATTGCAATCCATAAAGAAATTGACTGATGAGTGCAGCATCATCCCACTTGATGTCAATTGCAAGTTGTCGAAATTGTGAAGCATATACTGTTACTGAGCGATTTCCTTGTCGTAGAATTCGGATCTTATTTGTTGCAATACGAGTTGCATCGTGTTCACCATACATAGATCGAAACTCCGCCAAAAAAGCTTCCAAATTGTCCAATATTGGATTTCGTTGTTCAAGAAAAGACGAAAACTACGATAATGCAGAACCAGAAAGTAGAGTGCCAATAAACCTGACTTATGATCCTGGAGTTGGATAGCTTTGCGGTTGAAGTTCAATTGCCAATTGTACTTGATTGATGAACCCTCGAAACTTTGATCTCGTACCATCAAATTTCTCAGGTAAGGCAATTCTTGGTTCTCTAGTGCTTATAGGGTGTTGTACAATTGGAGAAGGAACGTGATTTGTTGTAGATGTTGAAGCAGCTCCGATCATCTCTATATCTCCACTTTCTGCTATTCTTGTTCTTTCCTGTGTTGGTGAATTGAGTTGATGCATCGCAAGCATTAACTCCCTCATTTGCTCTTGCATTTGTGCCATTGCACTCTTCATTTCAACAAGCTCTGCCATAATGACACTAAGAAGAAAAATTTGTTTGATATTGCTCAAGACAAAAGAAAAGAAAGACTTGATAACAAAGAAGATACTAAGAACAATATCAGTTTAGAAGTGGGTAATCCGCAAACTTCTAATACGCTTATGTCTTGTCAAGAGAAAGGGGTAATCCACTCTTACTCAAGAAAAAACAAAGCTCTGATATTGTAAGTGTACTCTTGTCAATCTGTCAAGGACAAAGACTAGATGAGGGAAAATATACACCAAAAGGCTATCTCGATATAATAAGTCAAAATATAAACAAGTAGGTATATTAAAAAGAAACTGGAATGGCTATCGCCACAAGAGAAGAAACTAAAGACTCTTGAACCTAGACTAGAAGCAAGAAAGGAGTTGACAAGAAAGAAGAAGCCTTCACTCTTGTCTCTATATATACTATCTAACTAGGGGCTACGTGGCGACGTTCTATAGGACCTCCAATATGTGTTGACTTTGTAGGACACATGCCTTGACTTACAAGGCAAGTTTTTCTACGTGTGGGCCACATAGTTAGCTTGATCTTCAAGCTAACAACATTTGTGGCACATGGCCAACTTGTTGACAACGTTTTTAATCCAAAAAGTCAATTAAAGACACCTATGAAGTCAAAGCAACGTCTAAGAAGTTTCTAGGAAGCTTCTATATTAAATATTATAGAATTAACTTATTTTTATCTACTTTTACTTACTTCTACCTATTTCTATATGTAATTATTAGCTTACATGATTATGGCCGTGACACTTGGTTCTTAGTTTGAAGAAATTTAAGGCTATAATAGCCAAAATATTCATTAATCCACACAATTAATCATTTGATACCACCAAAACTAGTCATATCAAAATAGCTAAGGTTAAATACTATTATATCTAAAATACCATTGGTATAGTTATACTTATGTAAAAAAGGTTGCCTATAGGCCTTGCCAATAATGCATGACTTATAAATAAGTATTTTATCATTTTTTCTCCTTGATCTTTAATCCTTTAATATAATTCATCCAATCTTTTTTTTTTATTATATACATTAAAGTATGTATTAATACTTGATGACATTTAATAAGTGTACGACTTGAAATAGATGAGCTAGAAATTGTTGCAACTTCTTCAATTTTACAAGACATAATATAAGCTTTACCTACTAGCATGCCTTGTGTGAAAAAGTTACTTGAAGATAGAATCCAATTGACTCTATTAACATCCAAATTATATTTACAACCTTTCTTGTATAAAGTTTTAGCTAATAATAATATATCATATGCTCCAAGAACCAAGTAGATAACCTTCACAATCATAAGAATGCATTTTCGTGTACGATCTAAAACTATGAGATGCATCTCACCTGAGCCTCATGATTTATTAATGCCACCATCATGGCCTTGGATTGGGATAGTTGTATTTTTATCAAAATTGAGAAGCTTATTCTTATTTTCTCAAATGTGTACATTAGCTGTACTATCAATGTGTATATAATGCCATAATTGACACAACTATGCAATCATAATTTTTTAATTAAATGATTCCTCTTGAGCTAAAAGAATAATAGTAATTCTAGCATTTACTATACTATTATAATTTTTTTAGGATATTTTGAATCACCTCGCTAATGCCTCTTCTATCTACAAGCCCTACAAATACTTCTAGACTTATTAATCTTGGGCTTTTTTTTTGTTGTAGATGATGCTTCTTGAAGACATGTTTTCTTCTTACATATACTCTTAAAGCAAAAAATGGAGAACTAATCTTCTCCTTTCTTTACATCTTTTCTTCAAGGAGAATAGATTGTAGTACTTCTTCTATGATTTTTTTTCTTTTTCTTTATGCAATCAATTGAATAAGTGAATCCTAACATTTTGATAATACAATAAGTATAAGAAATGTCATGCTTTATATATTCATTTTACTACTAGCTTCAATATATTGATTCTTAAAATCAAAAGTCTCTCTAAGAAAAATCTCCATAGATTTTTTGTCCACATATTGAAGATTATACAATTTCTTCATTAAAAATATTTTAGTAATAATTTATGAGGGCTTGTAGATCCTAACCAATATGTCCCACATTTCCTTTGCGATACTACATTTGTGTATATGAGTTAATTGCAAAGGCTTAATATTAAGTATAATCAATGCTTGTGCTTTTGCTTTGCTTGATTTATATTTTAATTTTTCATCAATATCCATAGGGCATTTTAATATCCTATCTACATGTATATAGAACTTACAAATGCACATCAAATATTTTATAACAAATATCTATGTGCCATAGTTTTTCTCATCTAATCAATGAATGCAATGATCCATTGAAGATGTCATTGCTAAATACAATTAATGCAATAGCAACAAATAATTATAAGAAAACAATTAACAAATAATCTACAAAATACAATATTTGGAAAGTAGTAGTAGTACCAAGCTATATTGGAGCAAAAAAAAACTTATTTTCACCACTAATAATAAATAGAATTTAATTAAATACAAATAAGCATCAATAGAATTAAACTCTAATTCTAGCAACTTCAGCAAAAAAAAACTTATTTTCACCACTAATAATAAATAGAATTTAATTAAATACAAATAAGCATCAATAGAATTAAACTCTAATTCTAGCAACTTCAGCAGGGCTCCAACAACTCCAACAAGGCTCCAATAGCTCCTTGGCTTTGGCAACATTTCAACGGCTATAGAGCTTCGGTAGCAAACAAATCATCCAAGTTTTCATCTACGAAAAACATCTAGTTTCATCTAGTCTCTATCCAATAATATTCATCCATGGTACTATTTATCTAAAATGATATTCATTCATGGCATTGTTCATTCAACTCTGATACCATGTTACAAGAATTGGATGAATAACATTTTGTTGCAAACAAGAATGTGGAGGAAACCAATGGGAGAGTACTTCCAATGTCTTACGTTCGATAAGTCACAGACTTTGGTAAATAGAATATGGGACATTCAACAGTAACCACCTCAGTAAGTTTTTTGGAGTTAGTAATTGGGATCGCAATAAACAACTTACGCTCGAGATGAGGTTGCGTTCTGGCAAATTTTACACGGATTCTGACTCGCCGGCAGAGGTATTAGTATTGGTCCATGACCTCCTTAAAATGCAAGGCAAACCAAACGTGCAGCAACAGAATCTGAACTCTGATAGGAAGTTCCTAGAAAACTTTATCAAGAGGAATCCATTTCCTACAAATCGGGATTCGAATGACTTCAAGACAGACATAACGGACATGGGCCGACAAGCCTTGGAAGAGTGGAAGACGCACCTGCCTCCTAAGGAATTCTTGAATTGGGTGAGTAATGCTCCAGTTTTTGTTTGATCACTGTTAGTCGGGTCGACTATGTGTAAATGGATCTCAATCCAAACGTGGTATTTGTAACGTGATTTGCAGACTTGTGCAAAATGTCCATGTGAGCTCAACACTTGGCGCTAATTTGCAGAAAGCCCGCGGCTATCCTCCCGAAGCACCTGCTCCAACAAACATAGGCAATATGGACAGATGGAAGTCTTCCGTCAGGTAAGGGGCTCGTGAACTTTGGGTCCTCCGATTTCAGGTCAAGTGGAGAGTACATTGCCGAATCTTTGGAGGCGTCTAAGAGAGAAGGGGCTCACAGATATCTGCAATGGTTTCTTACAGTCTGTGGACAGTGCAATCTGGACTCTAACTAACCTGGGTGGTTCATTGTTAAGAATGGTTCCCCTCTCAATTGTTCCCCGCATAAATCTGCAAAACTAGTGTGATTTTTAATCTGCAATCGTGAAGATTGTGAGTCGCCACTTGTATAACTCGGTCATTGCATTCGTCGTGATTGTCTTAGAACTAGTCCTGATTACGAAGCATCCTAAGGATTTTGAAATGGTCGTGTGGTATTAGGACAATTTGAATGCAATCTGAAGTGAAGGGCAACCTATGAAGTGGTCTCTGTTGCTGTGCTGAGAGTGGGAAGGGGTAGTAGAGGGTACTGTCCGAACTGACGATTCAAAGATATGTTTTGTCATGCCGTTGTTTACTTGGAAGCAAACAAATGCTATGCTGCAGATGGCAATTTGGGAGTGCTATGACGCTGAGAAAAATAGCAGTCGTTGTCCGTTTTGTGTAGGACAAATTTTAAGTACCATTTTGAGTAGAATCAGCTTGATCTGGCTGTTAGCGGCACAAAAAGGGATTCGACCCTTGTCCAGGATTTCATTCACGGTGTTGTTAACTTTGCAGAATTGGGAGTAGATGACGGATACGTTAACATAGTCTTGTTTAAAACATCTGGGGAAATGTTAGCGTTGGGTCCGACAAACAAGATGATGCGATTAGTACTGATATATTTTATTAGTTGCCAGGACATACGCACCGTGGTTAAACTCTGCTTTTGTTGTTTCCCAGGCCTGGTTGAGCACGGTCTTGTGGAAGTTGGACTGTTATCCTCTTGAATTTCTCCTTCTTTTAACAGATTATTGGAACGGAGTATTTCCGCAGGTGATATCACATAGAACTGTGTTTGGTATATAATGTGCCGGCTCGGAACAGGAGCAAAAGCTTCAGAGCTGCCCCTCTGCAGCTCAAGCAGCAACATAAAGACTTGGAGCTTGAGGTTGGCGACCCCTCTCCTCCACCTCGTCTGGTTCCCACAACCCAGTGCAGAGCAGTCTGGGAGCTGGGCTTTGTAGCATGTGTAAGCAGAATTTGCAAGCCCCTTCCCAACCGTGCCATGGCGGATGGCCTGGATCCCTCTTTCGTATCCTTTCATTCTCTTTCATATTCTTTCTGCATGTTCAGTCATGGGAGGCTTCATTTACAAGCAATACTTTAACAAATCCCGTGTAATCCTCCTCTTGGGTTCTCGTAGGTGTTGTGCATGTATTAGTTGCAACAGTGTATTTCTTTACAAGCTTCAAAACGTTGATAAATGAGGTTAATGGCAGCTACTGATCGTTCTTAAGTATCAAACTGGATTGATTTAATTTCTTGTTTTGTGACTTATCTATAGTATGTTGTAGAATTGTTTATTCATATCTTGATGTACCCAGTCTTGTTTTTTTACAAATATAATATGTAGTATAAAATTTTCAGTTTTGATTATAAATTATATAAGTTGTGTTGGAATGATTTTACTCATTCCAAATACAACGTTATTTCTAAGTGTTTTGTCTATTTTTTAATTTCAATGTCTTGTTAAACATTCTTTTATAGTATAAACTTTTAACCCATATTTTTTGTTTTTTATTTTTTAAATACAAACATTGTATAAACCTACAAAATACAAAAGCATGAGATATAACTAGCAGTTAGGTTTGATAATTCCTTGCAAATTATCCATCTGTTTCAGGCCCATAGTCAATAGATTTTACTCAGTCTTGAATTCAATGCATTCCAATTTTGTTTAGTTTTTTTTTTCAAATATAATATTTCTAAAATAACCGATGCATTACTAAGATAACTTATTCATCATGTTCCTACATAAATTTATTTATTTTAACTGTATCGTTTAACTTCATTATTTTCTTTTTACCAAGACTCAAAACATTTGCTAACGTGTGCAGAGCTGTTCAAGAGGAGAGCTTCAAATGGGCTTCATACAAACCTCACGAAAGCTCGTTCGCTCAAATGTCTGCAGTTCCTTTTCCAGTGTCGGCAACCTTGCGAAGCCTTCGAAGTTATTTTCCCGGTCCAGACTCAGAAGTGACGCATTACTAAGAATTCTACACATTCTGCGCAACAGGCCTCGAATTCTCCATTTGCTTGCTTTCATGCTGATTGTGTGCGGGTTATCTCGACTGAGTGCCAAGACTACAAAGTGGAAGGGCGAGGAGTTTGGGGTTGTAGAGTTTCTGAAACAAGCGTAGCGAAGATGGATCCTTCAAGGTCGCAACTTTCAAGTTCAAACAAGAATCATAGTCGAAGTTTTTCGGAGTTAGTAATCGTGCTCGCCATTGCAAGTGTACAATTGACATGAGGTGGCATCACCCTAACAAGTTTTGCAAAGGAATGTGCCTTGCCGGTAGAGGGCGCAGCATTATTCCATGACCTTGCGAAGATGCACGAGGATCCAAATGCGGAACCTGAGAAACTAAACTGTGAGAATAAGGATTTCTCAGAAAAATTTATCCTTGCCAAACCACTTCCTGCATCGCAGAACTTGGAGAAAATAAAGACAGGATTTAAGAAATTGGGCCCGCATGTCTTGGAAGCATGGAAGACGGATCTGGGTCCCGAGAAGTTTCAGAAGTGGGTAAGTTTTGATTTGTTCGCTGGTAGGCAAGTAGACTTTTTGTCTATGTATCTCTATGCAAACGTTGTATCTGGAGTGTTTCTTGAAGACTTTTGCAGGTATATTCTTCTGAGTGCAAAATCTTGTATTAATTTGCAGGGAGCCCGCGGATATCCTCCTGAAGAACCTGCTTCAACAAACTTAGGCAACATGGACACGGATAGGTCTTCGATTCTACAAGTGGCTTGTGAACATGGGACTTTTAGTCGTAGGTCAATTGGGGAGTTGACAAGTGTAGCTTCCCAGGCATCGAGGAGTGAAGGGGTCTGCACATGTGTGCAATGGTTTCATGGACTTAAAAGAACATAATTATACTGTCTATGGGTGAAGTTAATTTTTATCACAGTAATGGCACAATAATAATAATAATAATAATAGTTGAGATTCTATTTTTATAGGAACTCCATCAGTACGACTGTATTCCCTCCAATTTCCTTGGAGATTCAGCTTCCTTTCGACGAAATGTGCAGCATGATGTAAATTGGCGATCTTTACCACAGCTAAATGATTAACCAAGTTCACCAAACGCAGATTTAATACTCTAAGAAGAAAACTTACTCGTGCATTCGTAAAGAAGTCATAATGAGAAATTGATTGAAAGTGGAAAAAGCCACAACACAAGACTGCAGATGATATCTTTTGATGGCTAAGATAATAATTATAAGCATGTGTTGTCAAACTCAATGGCCATAGCCAAGTGGATGAGGAAAATGGAAACAAGGTCAGATCAGGTTTTGCGGTAAAAAAAAAGGATACGGGCACAGAGCACGAATAAAGACAAATTATAACAATCATACCCATGCACGCACCCCACATAGAACGAAGTTCTTGAATACTTCAGTGTTCAAGGATCGGAAAATCTCCTTAATTTTACCAAAAATTAAATACACCCCCATGAAATAGTAGGTCAATGGTTGGCAATGCAAAACCTTAGAGGTCCCACCTCGACCTATCATCAGTCCCCCATCCATATATATTACAACTTCGTTCCAGAGTTTGCAGTTGAAATAGAAGCACTATGTCTTTGAAATCAGTTCCCACATATGGGACAGACATAACATTGTGAGCAGCCTCACAAACCTTCCGTATGTTAAGAACACATCACCTACTGCAGTACAATACATCCCATGTAGGCTTCCAAGGGCATCAACAAAAACAAGAAAGATGAAAATAAAAATACAATCAATTGATGAGGATGGATGTTCAAAGTGCATGGCAAGTTTATGGGGGTTATCCAGCGGCAAGAACAGGACCTCCATCAGCTGTTACTATAGATGCCATATCCTTCTGTACGTCCCCTTCCCTCTGTTGGCTTCCCTGTACATCCTGTTCAAGGTTGAACACAATGATCAGATGAACCTGCCTCATGAAATATAAACCTACCAACTCCAATCTATTAAATCATCCTACCTGTTCACTTCGCATTATTTTCCTTGCACAAACCTGTAAAAATGCAGGAAGATCATGACTAACTGAACTCGTCACAAAGTGGAAAACCGAGGAGAAAAAGCACAGATAACCTACCACCCCTTGAGGAGCATTGTCTACACTACCCTGCAAGCCCGCCACCTGGTGCTGCTGTTGCTGCAGGATCTGTGCCCCCCAGAAACCACCACATCAAGATGGCAGCTCAGCCATTCTATCAATACACATAATACGCATGAAGAGAAATATGAACTAAACTAATTTACACGACGAACCGCGTAAAATTTTGATGTCACAAGCGGCAACAGTCCAGAAACAGAAGCATCGATTCTCCGTTTATCTAGCTCACAGTGCAGCGAATGTGCTTACTTGCTGTGGATGCAGCATGAGCTGCTGCTGCCCTCCAGCAGTAATCGAAAGGTTCTTGGACAAATCTCTCAATACACCCTGTCGACATTAGACATAAGTTTCATCAATTATATTCATGTAATCGAGGAAGTTAACTTAAATATAGTCGTAAGATCTCATCGTAGCTCCTGAAATCAAAGAACTATCCTGATTCCACATACCTTGTTAGCCCACATAAGACCACAAGCATTGCATAATGTGCGAGGTCCAGCAGGTCCTCGTCGCATCATTGGAGTGGACCGCTCACCAATTCCACAATGTACACACCTACAATTATGTAAACGACAAAAAAAAAACAAAAAAAAACAAAAAAAAACAAAAAAAAAAAAAAAAAAAAAAAAAAAAAAAAAACAGTTACAAAAATATAATAATAATAAATAACGTTATCCCCTAACCACTAAACCCATCAGTGCCATTTTGCAACAGAAAAACTGGAAACAGCCTGTTGAGCTAATCCTCCAAGTAGGATCAACTCGAAAAGAACAATGTGAAAGCGCATGAAGCACTAAAAATCAGAAAAATAAAATAAAATAAAATAAAATGACATACGTGACTTCTGGATGAACTCCCGGTGCTACAGTCTGTCCAGGGGCTAGGGTACCATCCCAGTTAGCAACAGGAGCACCCTCTTCCTGGGTTGGTCTTGAAGAGGCAAACTGGCCTTTCTTGCGCTGCATCCTGAATACAATCTTGAATTTGGACACATTAGAAACACACCCTACTGGAATAAAAAAACGGCGTTTTACATGCAGTTTACTAGAGTCGAATACAGCAAATCATCGACTGCCCTCGATGAAGTGGGATCAAATTAAAAGATTTGGCTGCCAACACGGGAATAAACCAGAGCTAGTAAACGTCCAGATTTTTCAATCTGCTGAAAAATATGACGTGCCCAAATAGAGGAAATTTTCAAAAATTTGTGAGCAAGCTGGTAGGAAATATGTTGGATCACCACAATAAAACTACCTTTGGGCAACTTCTTTCCGAACAGTATACCGAATTTTCTTATCATAACACCGCTCTTTGCGCTTCTCCCGAAATCTTGTCAAAGATGCTAGCCTTTGTGGCATGTTCATTCGTGCCGGTAGCTCTGTCAGCCCCTACATTGAGCAAGTCAAAGTACTCGTTCTCAAAATTGTAAATAAGGACATCCGAGTCAAATCAACAAGACATACACCTTCACTAACAGAGGAGCAGTGCCTAGAAAAGCAACGTAGTATTATATTCCCAAAGGAAGGAGCTATATAATTCAACCAACTGCACAACAGCATGTACCATTATATTTAAGGAAGATATGTCTAGCGTGATACATGGAAAGGTTATTCAAGCTCTACCTTGTGATGATGGCTGAACATATTGACACCCGACATGCCTGGAGGTATCTCGCGGCCGCCCAATAAAAGAAGCACAGCCTGGACCTGTAATGTAAATGCAAGTAAACTCACCCAATCTGACTTGGTACATTCTCATGTGTCTACGAAGTCCCATCAATTTCCCAGTTGCGGAAGAGTGAGGACATACACAAGTATAACTTACTAGGGATCACACAAAGAATGATTTGAAGAGTTCAAACTCAATGCGGATTACTGAAGCACTACATGAAAGATTACCTTCTTAGGAGGCACGGTGTCAAACACATAGACTTCACCCTGATAAGATAAGGTGAGCTGTGTGGAGCCCTGCGTGCGTACAGCCAGGGGAGTAGGCCCATCACCCGGGTTGCCACCGCCATCAGAATGCATGTCGGCCTCATCTAGACCCTCCTCGTCTCCAGCGTCATCGTCATGCTCTTCCACTTCTACTCCATTTTCCTCCTTATTATGCATCCCGTGCCCGTGATGGCCATGATGGTTATGAACCTGATCGACCTCTAGATGATCCTGGACTTGTTGGTCCCCCCTAGCCTGCCCGTGCCCTTCTGATTCGCCATGACCATGCACGTGCATCTCACGCATGGCATGCTGTGCGTGACCTAATCCATGACTCAAACTCTGTGGGTGAAGGTTGTGATGTAATTGAAGGGATTGGGCATGCACGAGGTGATCTCCGTCAGACATCCCTCCTACATCTACCCCCTCAGAGGGCATTCAATGTCGATGACTGCGCGCTTGGAATTGTTGGATAGCGTCCTGTGCTACCGAGCGCGAGTCCTAACTCTGTCGTCAGCTATTGCGTGATGGACCATGAAATACCCAACTACCAAGAGAACGTAATACCCACTACCATCACCCAAAACTATTCCTACATGTATCATCTCATTGACGACACAGAGACCTGCATCCTCGACTGACGATTGTACTTCCACCTGCCAGACCATGCCAGAAGCCGGATATCAACTATCGAAACAGATGTGAGGCATTTTGCAGGCAGAACCAGGCACACTCACATTTCGCAACCAAACGGAATCTAGAACATAACAAGACCAGCAATCTGAGACGAAATACGTTCTAGAGAGGAAGAAACAACTGCGGAGGGATTTGCATCCACCTAAAGAAGACAGTATGCTGCAGATAATTATTAAAAAAGGCTCTCGTGCGAACGTCCTTGAGGGCATTGAAATACGTATCCCAGAAATTGAGTTGATTTGTGGACCAGTGTGGTAAGAATTTAAAAAATAGGATAAAATCAAAAAATGTCAATCCTCCCTAAATTTCTACAGAAATTTCAGAAGAATATAATAAACATTAGTCCCGGCCAGACATCTGGGTCAAGTGAAAAACCAAAAACAGACTATGATGAAAGAATTTTAGAGGAGGAAGTTACAACTCAAAATCCTGCCAGATGAGGAGACCTTCATGAATGGACGTACGATTCATCTAAAATGAGACAGCGGCACAATGAAAAAGAGCGCTAAATATTAAACTCTAGTTCCCACTCAACCCTAACCTGCAGCTACGACACGAACGATACTTCTGGGTTGAATTGTTATCAGAGCATCAATACAAACAGAAAAAACTAATGATACACCTTGATCACAGAAATTTATATTTCAACCTTTTCTGACTCAGCCCGACTAAAGCTCACTCGGCACAGTCCGCGACAGCTAGCACTCAAGCTTGACTCCGAAGTGTAGACTTCGGAGCCAAGCTTCGCCCACTCAAAGACCGAAACACTAAGCATCCTAACACCTTCCTATCAAGCGAGGAAAGAGAAAATCCACCCTCGTAGGCAACCAACCACGTACCTCAACTCTGTTGCTGGGCCATAGCTGACGCCGGCACGGGTGCTGATCTGCTGGCGCACTTGCCCCCTCGTACCACACAAACCATGTCCAAATTGGGTGTAATCCACAATGCGACCACTCCCGATGAAACTGAGAACAACCCAACTGCGACTGACGAATCCAAACGCGATGCAACGCTGCGACAACCCTCTCTGGCGACGCAAAAACCAATAATCTGGAGCAGGAGCACGGATTGCAGACGCCAGCAAAAGGAGGACGAGGACGAGGACGAGAGAGGGAAGGCTTCGAAAAGGCACTGGAAAAGTAAAAGGAAACGTACTCTGCAAGACGGACGGACGGGTGCTGGGTCTCACCCGTCTTTTCGTTACCCCCCCCCCGGGCCCACTTTTCCGTTAACTATTTCCTGGCAGTGGCTCCTCGACTTTTCTTGTTTGGAGTCCAGATGTCGGATTCGCGACGGGCCCCGGGTCGGCTTGTGGCTTCGTTTCGTCACCTGGTACGGCCTCTCGTTTTCACCTACATTAACGTTGTGTGCTTGATTTCTTTATTATTTTTTTAGTATTTGTTTAATAAAAAACTAAAAAAATTAATTTACACCAAACATATTTTTTTAAGTAACTAATGTTTTTTAATTAATATTAAACCATGTAAAAAAATAAGAATCTCCTCTATTGTATAATACTATTGTTAGAATTATTTTAGAATGAGATCTTTATGAACTATAAAGTTTCTAGAGAATTACTTATGTTAAAAATATCTTTTGGTTATATTAATAAAAATAGACATATATTGAAATGTCTGTAAAACTATTTTACATTTAATAATTATATAATATGATAAATTTGGATAAATTTTTATAAAAAAATATTTTAATTTTTTTAATATATATATATATATATTATTTATGTTAAATTTTTAACCCACAAAATATATTGGTAGATTTCCAAAATAAAAAATGATTTATAATTTATGTTGAATATTAAATTATCTAAGATTTTTTTAAAAGATAATTAAAAAAATACAAAAGAATATTTTAAGTCACAAAATTACCAAAATAATTCTTTTAAGATGAAAAGAAAATAAATTACCACATAATTAGGACAATTGAGAAGAGTTATGGAACCAAAAGTAGCAATATAGTGGCATATACTTTATAGAGACTTTTTAAATTATATGGATCATTAATATAAAATAATTAAGATTATGTACTTAAAAAAAAACAAAAACAAAAACTTGCATAACAGTTTGTACCTATAAATTTATAAAAATATTCATAAAAAGAAACACAATAATGAATATATTTGTAGATTTAAATGATTTCTATTAGTTAAACCTGATAAAATGCCAATTTAAAACTACAACCATTTTTAAAAAGATATTGTAGTATCATAACTCTTAAGGATTCTTACTTCAACAAAATAATAAAGTATTCATTCCGAAATTCTGGTTGAAAAAGAATACGGACATTGATGAAGAAATTTATGTGGTCATGCAGCCTAAGGGCAATGGAAAAAACAAAAAATAATACGTTGAGAATTATGTGAACTATTTTGTCCCACTCCAAATTTAAAAGTAATACTACGGCCATTTGCTGTAACAAATACTATTGAGTATTTTTCAACTGCAATTTCATTCTCACAACAATTCTTACGTTCAATGGACTTCCAAACGACATGGATATACATCACAAACTGCAATTTCGGAACACTGAAAGAACTCAAAATCAACTTATTATGTAAATTAGTCACAAATGTATGGTAAAGAATGAGTAGAAAGTAGAATAAGCTATTGCTGTTACCAATCTGATGAAACAATCTAAAGAAGAGCACAGATTCATTGATCATGGCAAGCATAGAATCTCACACATACCATTCTGAAGCCTTCTATACAGACAGCCGTGTTCTGTAGTCCACAGTATCATTCACATACCGTTTCATGAATATCTCAAAACCAATAAAAAGAATAAGAAGAGTAGAAGGAATGCCTCGAATTGTTCAACATATTTCCTGCAAGCAAGCTCAACTCATGAGCAGCTTCACGAGTGAAATGTGAAGTTGAGCATGAGTGCATCTGCTTCCGAGGAGATTGATGGTGGAAGTAATGCATCAGACTGGCACTCTGAATGGCATCACTGCTTTTGATGCCAGTCAGCTGTCGACAGAGCTTTCTCATGAACAATGAGCGCATCTTCCTTTCAGCAAAAGTCAGCAAAAGTGGAAGTAAATGTGTGATGAGAAAGCTTTCTTTCCTGTGTAAGGATGCCGTTGCTTGCAGGCAATTGGCAGCATCACCATGAATTTCTTCAATGGTACTTGCACACTTCAGACTGGGTGAACTCATTCCAAGAAATTAACCGACATCGCCAACAATCGACAATGTCTAGGAGCAGAATCTCCGAGGCCAAGGTCGCAATCTTTCTCTTCTTGGCAGTGAGTAAAAGTTCCCACCAGAGCCTCGAAGCCATTTGCACACCATTCGTCGTTGACGACCTCTCAGAACTTCACCTGCATCAAAGTCATTGCGACGCTGAATCAGCCAACCGGGTAACCATGCGTATCGTGAAGAGGGTTAGCTGAATACAAACGGTAAACGCTCAGAAGTATGTAAACTGCTTATGTGCGTGCAATTGAACGCTTCGAAGATGTATATCAGCAACACGGGTAAGGGCTCTACATTTGCACATTACTTCTGACATTCGAAGCTCCTCGAGGAACCGAAAAACCGAAACGTTCAAGTCTCAGGTTTTTCTTCGCATCTTGGTATCTATTCCACATGAAACCTACAAAAACTTGAGGTCATGCACAAAGCTTCCGGGTCGCAGATTAGCCGGAGAACCTCATGAATTAGCTACATTAGGTGTGAAACGGACACTCGCGAATTGGACTACGCAATGTGGGTACAAAATATGATCAAGAATGCAAAACCCACCTTCTCAAACCACACTCAAAATTAACAGACACCAAGAGACCTCTGCGATCTGGTAGAATGCTCAGGTTTAGCCGCAGATGACATCGTTTTCGCGCATCACGTGCGGAACCAACTGGCGGCAGTGGGTAGCAAGGTTCAAACGCCAGGAATTCCCATACCCGTGGGAGACACTGTGCGAATTTTGTTGGGCTTTTCACAAGAGCTCCCATCCGTTCTCGCTCCCCATCCTTCCACGTCTGCCGATTCCCAAGTTCTCGGTTAGGCAACATTTCGTCACCTTCCTTCCCACTTCGCCCTCTCCACCCAAATTCTGCTACTTGCCAATACACCTTCCGACACCGTGTCTGTAGGTCCTCCCCTGAATGACTCAGATGCGGAGTATTCACACGTTCCTTCGGCCATCTGCGACCTACTATGATGCTCAGGTTTGTTCATCGTTTTCACGCTCGCATTTTGGTATTTAGGGAGATGAGTTGGATTTGCTGAGGAGGACCCATTGTGCGGCCATGGGGATTCGATCAATGATTGCATGATCCGCAACAATTTTTATCTGCATTATTCTTGTTTATTTTATTCTTGTGTATTTCATAAATTTTGTTGTGGCAATGCGTAAATGTCCCAAGTGCTGGTAAAGTTACAATTTCGCATCACATTGGCCTCTGACCGGCGCCAAAACGAATGCGTGAGAAATTAGGCGGAAAACATGTGTTTGATAATGTCTGTAAGCCGGTAGTGTATGAATTTTCTGTCGCGATTGCTATGGCAACCATTGAGAAGGGACACGAACATTCAAGAAGGTTGAGCATACAAGTTTTCTGGAAAGAACTTAGGCCTATCCGAATCTCAGAGCTCCAGTTAAAAGGCAGAATTGGAAATTCAGTTTGGATAGTTTGTTTGTAAATTTACTTGCGTGTGTTTCCTCGGAATGATCTCGCAATCGCAGGCGGTCGAAATGTAGTCTGATGAATTGTCTACTTAGCCATTGCATTGTGAACTTGACACCTTCTAACAGACAGATTTTGATGTATTTACTAGGTGGTGGACCTTGGAAATGTGCCACTACTTTCTATGTTACAAGCTATGGATCTGGTCATTCAAAGTTTTCTACGAGGTTTGGTCCTTATGCTCGTCTGCTAAGACAAAATGCGCTTGGAATAGATTTTGGCGTTAGACCTTTAGCAGATGTAGATCATGACTAAGCTGATGGCTCATGTCTGCAGCCGCGTGTTGGGGCGAGTGTTTCTGAATTGTAGGTCCTCGCAACCTGTCTCTGAGCTAATGTCAATGGCGAGAGACGTATGGCGATGGTGTAAAGTTCATCAGAAGTGGCTCCAAGGTCTGAAACCACACAACTTGAGTCACGATTCATTCTTGTGTGAGAGTATTACGAACAGTTTACCTTTCGACACTGATCTCAGTCTCTTCTAATTGCAGATGTGAACGCCTGTGTGACACAAAAAGGTTTAGAGCATGTAAAGACCGATTCAGCACCACGTTCCTTCTCACCCTCATCAAGATCTGTATTCTCCAGCAGGCTGAATTGCACCGAGAGCAGTGGGAAAAAATTACACAAAGGAAGCGTAGCTGCATCCAACCGGTGGCGAGACGATAGCAATACCCTAGATCCGGTTCCCAATTTCACCGCTAAAAAGGACAAGAAGCAGGGTTGTTCTCAATCTCAGGAACATCTAATGTCTCTACCCAAAAGTTTAGGAACAGACTTGCAAGAGTGTTCCCCTGCTTCAGCCCTCCCTACAGAAGACCTTGCAGATGTTGAGGATGTCTGGCCGCAGACATTCTCATCAAGATACAGGAAACCGGTCAAGTGGCTTTTTGCAGAGGCTCCCATGCAAAGTACCACATTCTTTTCATTGCAGATGATAAATGAAGTGCTTCAATGTTTTAATTTTTTCGTTCGACGTTGACAATCGTGCAAGTGGACTTCTTTGCGGCTTCCCTCAAGCCTTTTGATTTTTGCAATGCAAGGTGTACGAAAGCCTTACAGCGCGAAGCCCCTCTAGCAGCACTTGGAACTAACAATAGGCTATTCTTGTGTGCAGATAATTTTCGTCAAAATATTAGCGAGAGCGAAAACTGGGTAACCGTGTTCAGGTGTGTTCGTTTTGGAATCTTAATCCGTTGCCACATATGTATGTGCGCGCTTGTATGAGGTTGTATGTCGATATCGTCGTATCACAGATCAATTCAATCAGGATATGGGTGCCTATTGGGAGGAATACGAATCTCTGTGTTGTGCACTCTGAGAATATGGTAGTGTAGATAGTTCTTTGTATAAATTGGAATCTTAGTGTAGATCATCGACAACATAAGCTTGACTTGACGTGTTTGTCTGTCACATTTTTAAAGAAGATTGCAGGCATCTCATTTGTTTTTTGGGAATCCTTTAGGTGGTGAATGTTGTGCCATGAGGTTGAGCAGCATTTGGGCATCCCAGTAGTAATTCAATTGGAGCTCATTAAAGTTTCATACTGACCCCTTGACTTGCAGCTCTGTCCCAGATCACGATCCTGGAGGGCGTCCTGACAGGTGATAAACTATTGTCTGATTCTATGGCTATCATTCCACTACACTGATGTTCTTCCACACCGTTGCATTGGTTTTTGAGTGCAATCTCTACCTCCAATTACTCGTAAGAACTCATATCACAAGCTCAGGGCATAATTCACATGTCCGCGTTACATGACATGATTAATTGTCGGCACTTCAATGAGGCGCATCACCGTTAACCCATTAATGACTGTGGATTGGAGTTGGAGCACAGATTCGACACCAGCGAACTGTTGGACGTGATACGGGAGTTTGAGAAGTGTGGGACGATTGTAGAGCGAGTCGTTGGACCTGATGCCGCGAATTGGATCCAGCTTCAGTTTCAGGTCTAAATCAGATCTTCAAATTGAGGTCAAATCGATTAATTTAGCAAGCTCCATTAATCCATACATCCAATCATCGAACACTCGCCATTTACGTAACTTACTCCATGTGGCTCCGCGATTTGCTAACCATGTTGAATGGTGAAATGGCTAGCAGAGTTCACAGGAAGCAGGCCAGGCATTGATGAAGAGTGGATTAAGATTGAAAGGGGGCACAACAGTGATATGTCGAAATTTGGACGAGAAACAGCGCAAACAGTTGCTGCTTGGGACGATCTCCAAGTCCGGCAATCAATTAGGGCCCGGACCATCAAGTTCCAATCTGCCTAAATCCCATGGGTCTGTCGACGGGAATTTTTCGGAAGAGGAACTTCCCAAGTCCAGCCTCTCAAAATTTGTCGACCTCGTGTTTGGTAATCAATGCTGTCATGATTTGTCCTTCGATATTGAACACACAATGGTTTAATATCATTTCAACAGAACGATGGATTAGCTTTACTGTTGTCAGGACTGCAGTCAATGTACGTAGAGGTCAATCATTTCAGCTAAATAATGCTTTTTCTTCTTTTTTTGCACTGCAGATAGTGATCGATATCATCAGATTACACCAGCCGGATACATCATACCAATTAGGTTCGAACCGGGCTTGTACAAGGAGCTCTTCAAGTCCCAGATTCACCATTGCGACGCTTTTGTGACCCCGCAGTGCGACCCGGCAGCAAATCAACCCTTGTTTTTCGAGTACCCTTGGAAGCCAACAGATCCATGTGACTACACGCTAAGGAAAATTGAGGAGCTGCAAGATCGGGCTCAGGAATGTCTCGCCAGTAGCATGCCTTCTCAGGGACTCATTTCCCGCCCCACTGGTAAAACGTGCTGCGATGAGAACACATGGAGGAACAACGATCTCGTAAACCACTCATAGATACGCCACCATAGGACCTAAATGACCGTGAACCACCACTAGATCCTGACTTCCCTATGAAGCCGGAATTGCGTGCGAGCGAGGACCGACTCCGCTCAGGTGTGGAGAATTCCCCCTAGCCGCAGGTGAGCTCGAATTCGGTGAAGAATGGATTCATAGGTCATCTCCATGACAACATGGTGGGGATGGGGCTCGCGAACATTCACATGCGGCACAACAAACGGGATGGATGCCGGTGGAAAAAAAAAAAAGAGGACATCAATTGCTCATGGGTTATAACATGAGAAAACTCTTAAGAGTTGTTTCTGTTTGAAATTTACAGCAAATTACATCCGGAAAGCAATCTTATGGAATCCAATCTCGGCTCTACATTGTCTATTCAATCTCTGAGTGGATATATTCTTTGAATATGAAGTTCTTCTCACCTTCCTTGAGTGTGTATGCTGCTGCTGCACTTAGCACAGATCCTGAAGCTAAGAGTGCACGGATCACCATATCAGCTGGCACTCCAGCCGCAGCAGCCAGCACGATCGTGCTACCCCAGAAAATTTTCTGCCACAGCTGAAAATATTTTTGCGCATTCCGACACGAGGAGCAATTCAACGTGTGCTGCTCGTAGCGATCCAGCATCTGCCGCTTCGACAAGACCGTGGAGGGAAGAGGCCGATCGGTGCGAGCTTCAGGAAACCACTCGGGTCCGCCCTTGCCGTGCCTCCTTAGCCAGTTCCGGAACGCCAGCACGAAACGATCGGCCTGCGTGGGTGTGAACGTCAGCTTCCCATACTGGGCATTGATATCACCGTCGTGCGCCAGAAATATTTTCTCTTGGCCTTGCAGCACGATCATGTCGCCATCGTATACCTTGTTCGAGGTCCAATGCTCGTACCATCTCGGCACGAGCTGCCACCATTTGTCTCCAGGCGTCAGAAATTGGAAGAAGTTGCGAGCGCTGCATACGATGGAGCGGGTCTTCCCGGGGGCCATAGGAATGTTGAAGGAGCATATCAGAATCTCCCACTTCTGATCCCCGAGGATGGGAAGCTTGACAGGCAACTCAATTCTGCAGCACACATCCAACTCATCTTAGAATTGACAGGAAACGATTGATGCTGGACTGTTCCACCAAGATACACGTTGCTACTGATCAATCGATCGGTTTATCCGTCGAGTAAGAAACGAGGTCGTTGAGATAAGTAACGTACTTATTGTAGTAGTAGCAAGGCGGGTAGAACCCAGTGCTGATTGTGGGGGTGTCGTTGTTGGCTCCGGCGAACCCCCATGGCCCACTCTTATGCACCTTAAAAGGTAATGGCTTCGCTCTGTCCCTCCTCCCAGTCACCTTGTGGTGGGCGAAGTCGATATGAGAGGGATCCGAGACATTCTCCATCAAGGTGTCGTATCCATAGTACAAATCTCGCTGGATTGTCACTGTTGAGTACTTCGGATCGCTGAACTCGGGCGGCAACATTGGCGGTGAGGCTTGCGCGGCTTTCTCCCATCCCTTCTCATCCGGCCACACAAAGAGCAAGCCCTGAGAGACTTGGGTAGGATATGAAACTGCACACGCACGAGGGGAGAATTTGGCCTTTGATTCGGGCCCCGAGGCCGCTGCCTGCGGAATGGCACTGCAGCTGCCGTCTCCCTTGAACGCCCATCCATGGTAAGAGCACTGCAACATTCCGGATTCGTCCAACCTCCCCTCCTGGTCATTGCCAAGAAAAACCATTTTCCAAGTCTTCAAATTCCAAGTTCCAGAATACTCGTCGTACACATTCAAATCTAGAGGGGAACAAAAAAATGGGAAAAAGGAAAAAAACAAACAAACAAAACAAAAAAAAACAAAGAACAAGAATAGAAAGTCAAGAGAGGGGACTGACCGAGAGGGGTGCGAGGCGGTGGGGACATTTATCCAGAAAAACGCGCCACTCTCCTTGTGGATCCTTCCACACCACGAGCTCCCTACCGAGGAGTTGGAACGGGGTGGGCACAGAAGGATCCAAATCTTCAATCAAGGATACGGGATACCAATGATCGCGCCACACAAACGCGTCGTCGCTCTGCCCTTGCTCCGGCTGCTGTTCCTCCCCGCCGTCAGTTTGCAACGCTTCTTCAATGCCCAGGCTGGGCTCCCCCTCGCTCTTCGACATGTCGGGATCCGCTGGGGGCCGCGGTGGAGCCATGGTCATCACAACGGGACTGGGTTTTCGTACCCCCTTAACCTTCACAGCCTTAGACACATGGTTCCTGGACAATCGCAGGCTGAGATTCTTCGATGGAGAAAACAGAGCAGAGCTGGAGGAAGCAATATTCCTTGCGAGAGGCAAAGAGCAAGCTCTCCGCTCTTGATCAATTTGGGCGTTTGCAGTCGAGAATTCAGACCCTCGGAGACTCGCCACCGGACTTGCGTACAACGCGACGGTCGCTGCTGCCATGCTTACAGAGCAATCCTCAAACCGATCTCCTCAAAACAAGACCCTTCCACTACCAAAACCAGCTCAAGATTTCCAATTAAAAAACAAAACAACAAAAAAAACAGCCCTCTAGACGGTTTTCCTTCTATAATCCTGTATGTAGCAATATCGTTCAGTATGAAACTTTTCGATGATCCTGCAGGGTGCAGGCTTTCACAGCAATTTCCTGTAATCGATTGACCGTATTTGAGGTCGATGAAGTGCATCGGTCCCAGATTTGTACAGTCTAACTTCCCGATCACCCAACCGACCAGGAATTTCTTCGTGCTCACGCAATGCCTTGCGTTGCAAAGTCGACAGATCGGTCAGCTGGATGCTACTAGAACAAACGTGACTAGGAGATTCAACTCCTCCAACCATTGCTACCGTGGAAAGTGTTCGTGCAACAAGCGCACAAGCTCATGACTCCGAAACCCGGACCCGCGACACGCAACCAAAGACAAGGCCAATGAGAGGCGATCCTTCTCCCCACATTTGCCAGTTCGCACGTTTGCACCTCGCCTTTTTCCAATTCGCGGTCAGCTCCGACGAGATGGTTCTCGCGTCGTCGATCATGCGGCGATCATCGTGAGTCATGTCGAGCTCCGCTAGATGGACCCGGACTGCGCGATAAAGCTCCAAGGTTGCGTCTCTTCGGCGCCGCTTCGAACGAACGAACGAATTTATCAACGAACAAACGGATGGACATAGCACAAATTTATTATGGATAAAGTTGAAGGTAATAAAAGCAAGTAAATGCTGCCCTTATGAGGGGTATTGTCAACTCTTAGATTCATTCATTAACCATTGGTTATATGAGTTTTCTCAAAAATTACGTTTTATATTATTCTCTTACTTTATGTCCACATATTTTGGTTAGTAAAGAAAACAAAAAGAAATTGTCTTAGAATTATCATTTAGAAGAAGTGATTTTTTGAAGAAAAAGTAAGCATTTATTACAAAAGAAGTTACTTTGTGTTCATCATTATTGTGTTTATTACTCTTTATCATAATTTGATAGATAATATTATTACAATGCGTCATTACTCTCTTCTTTTTACTTTGTGTATGAACGTCTCCTACTCTTCTTCATTGCCATTTTTTGAATGCTATTTAGTGAACACTTTGCATATTAATTAATATTCAATATCTAGTTTTTATTTTATTTTCATTTTATTTTGGTAGAAATCAATTACATTATATATATTTAAATTTATAAATTTTTTTTAATATCATGGTACAATCTATTTTTAAATCATTTATCAACTATTGAAATCATAATGCATATGCAAATATTACATAGTATTTGTGATTTGAAAACATAGATTTTGTCATATGTTGCATGAATAGTTTTAAAGTTTAATTAGTCAAAAAAAATTATTGACTACTCGGATTTGGTTAACAAATCTTTTGAGTTTGAATAAAAATAAAAATAAAAATAATCAAAGTTTTCAGAGGACTGAGCTGAGACTCTTCAAATGCCAAAAAATTAAAATAAAATAAAATAAATCTTAAATTGGTACACATACTGAAGAAAATAACACAATCTTTGTATTCTTTAAATTAAGTTGGTTCAATTATAACACTTATTTAAAATTTGTATATTATACATTGATTCCTTTCTTTTCTTTTACATTTGTACAAATTTATATTTTTACATGAAATATAAATTTATTGTAGAAATAAATTTTGGGGAGTTTGAAGGGCACTCTTTCCGTCTGCGGGTGTCACTCCACAGAGGACAAAGCACAAATAAAAATGAAAAATGAAAAAGGATATGCAGGGGGGAGAGGGGGGGGGGGGGGGGATCTCGCGGCCATTATCCAATGTATGTTACGAGGCCAGATGGGGCATGTAGCCTAATGGATAGCCCAGATACCTTGTGGTGCTACCTTGGGGGAGCCAGTTCAACCCCGGATCCCCCTTCCAGTTCTAGTCGCGAGGAGTTTGCGAAGCCCAGATTCCGTTAGACTTCCTCCAGTTTATCCTTGCACCACAGCCGGCGCGGTATGTCGTGAGGATTCTCATGGTAGTGTCCAGGTTAGAGACATTCCCATGAAGGTATAAGGCAGCGTCGTCCGCATACATCTGATTGTCGGTTTTGCGACCGTCTGGAAGTGTTAGGCCGATGAGTGATCTGGCCGGGTCATCGACCATATGCCCATTCACATCTGCCGCTATTAAGTAGAGGTAGGGTGCCAACGGGCGCCCTTGCCTCACCGACCGTTGTAAGGAGAATGGCTCTCCTAAGGTGCCGTTTAGAACCACGCTTGCTGTGGCTTCATTGTACAGCGACATGACTAGCTCTACCCATCCGAGGGGGAATCCCATAGGAATCATAGTCTGCTGTAAGAATTTCCAACTTACTCGGTCATATGTCTTCTCGAAATCGAGAAGGAGTAGTATCAGGGGTTGATCACTTTCCTCAGCCCAATCCATTGCGGATCGAGCCATGAAAATATTATCCAGTATACATCTACCCGGTCAAATGCGGTTTGCGAGTTTCGAATCCACAGTGGTAAGAATTGTAGCATCCTGTTCGCTAGCAGTTTGGCTATGATCTCATAGACTGATCCCAGGATAGAGATTGGGCAAAAGTTGGTTAGATAGGCTAGTTCCCCTCCCTCATAGACTGATTTTGCTCTTGTTTAGCGTGCGGCAGAGGTTTTTGGTTATGAATATCTCTTTGATTAGGCTATATAGGTCCCCGCTTGTTTCACCCATAAAGGTCTGGAAGAATTCCACGGGGATACCGTCGACACCCGGGGCCTTACTGGCTGGTAGACCCTTGATAGCCTTGATATCCTCATATAGCGTGGGGGTTTTGAGGAGAATTTCTCCTTGTTCCGCTGCTGAAACAGTCTCTTCTGACTTGGTCATCACTTTCTACGACGTCATCCTTTGAGTAAAGTTGTATATAAAATGTCCACGTGATGCTGCATAGCATTATGATCTGTGAGGGCCCTTCCTGCGTCTACTAGTTCCCGTATAGGAGTAGGTTTTTCGAAACCGTTGTGTGCTTCAAAGAACTCTTTGTTGCAACGGTCGCCGATCCTCGTCCATGCTGACATTCTTCTATCATGTCGGGCCTCTAGTTTTTGTTGTCGCTGATATTTAAATTCAGCTGTGCTTCGTTAAGTTTGTCCCTTGCCGACTGATCGTTCCAGTTCAGCTGGAGAGCCTGTTCAGCTTTGAAGATCGGCTCGAGTTGGATATCGTAAGTGGCTCTGCATTTTGCTTTGTGTGCGGCTACGGTTCGGTCACTATGTTGTTTAATCGATTTGATTCCTTCTACTATTCTCGCATTCCACGGTTTTGACGAATGAGTCTCCATTACTTTGTTCCATTCAGCTAGGAGAAGAATTTTCTCATTGTCATCAGTGAGGAGATAACGACTGAAGGCTGGTGTTCGTTGGGTTTTGTTATGTCTAGGCTGAAGCCTGACAAAAACCGGGGAGTGATCCAAGACGTGAGCCAAAGCAGGCCATTTCGCTGTGATTCCTCCTATCCTAGTGAGATTTTGGTTTAGATATATTCTATCTAGCCGTGAGCAGATAATACCCGGGGCGTCTCTCCTGTTATCCCATGAGTACTACTTGTTTGTAACCTTACGAAACTCGTCCGCCCGGAAGCAGTCCCGTAAGCCTAGATGGACCATGAGGTCTCCCCATGCGATAACTTCCCTAGGTCCTAGGCCAGAGGTAGCTAGTCCTCCCTGTTTGTCTTCCAACTGTTCAATCATGTTAAAGTCTCCTAATATCCAGTTGGCCTCCGGAAGTTGGAAATGCCGGATCTCATTCCAGAGCCTTGTTCTTGGCCCTGTGTAGTTAAATGCATAGATGTTTATAATTCCTATTTTGATTCTAGGAGTCCATTGGATGGTTATGTATTGGGCCCTGCCCTTCATGATGACTCCGTGTTCGCAGATTAGTCCAGCTAGTCTTGCTGATATGAGTATGCCCATACCTTCCTTGGAGCTGTCTTTATTTGCGCAATAGTTGGATTCATTCCAAAAGGAGGTCCTGTTTCTGAATTCTATTTTCTTGATGTGTTTATTTCCCCTCCTCCAGCGAAAATTTGTGCTCTTGGACCATTATGATTTCACGTCGAGGGTCGGATTTCTGGAAGAAATACCTGATTTCGCGTCGTTCACGTACACCTGTGAGGTCACGGCCTAATCCTTGTACATTAAACGACGCTAGTATGAGTGTGTCATCCATTAGGACTGCCCATTTCAGGGGTTACGGACTCCCCTTGTTGATTGTCGTTTATGGGTGGTAAGGCAGTTGCATATGAGGGTGAATTGGGGTCCTCGGGTAGGCCTGGGGTGATGTGTCCAGAAGTGTCAAGAGCCCATGCCTGGGTATGCTGTTGCAGGAAGGGTGGTATGGTTTCCTGTAAATCCGCGGGAAGGGCTTGCCATTGTATCCCAATCTGGTTCCGTAGGGTACAACTTTCCGTGTTGTAAGCAATCAATGGTCTGAAGGTGTCTAAACCATTAGTCGACACTGGTTGTGACCATTCATATAACCATGTCGCATCCTCTCATGATCGAATGGGATTTGTGTGTTTCTGTTTCAATATGACCCGGCTCCTGAGGTATAGCATTGTTTCGTTGACTAAATGTGTTGATCCAAGACTTGTCCTCGACCTGAAATCTAGAAATCCCATCCTCGACCTGAAATCATAATGGTCCAAGAAGTCCAAGACTTATTTTTGTATGAGTCTAGGCGGTCGGGTGTCCATTCGATTCGTAGGGGTTAGGGTGGTTCCTTGACTTCCTTCGACCCTAATGGTTCATCATTAGTAATCCCTTGTGCTTGTTGCATAGTTTGTGTGATATTGGGTTCCTGTTGGGTTTGAGGTGATACTTCACATATGGGAGGAAGATCCTCGTTTGCGTTCTTAGTAGGTGTCAAGGTTTGGTTCCGGTGATTCTCAGGGTAGTGAGATTTTAAGAATCTGGCTAGATCTGGTGCTACCCTGTTCACTAAGGTTGCCCCTTCCACATATTCTGTAGTTGTAAAGGTCAATCCTAGATGTGGGTATTTCGTTAGGAGGTTGTGGCCAGTTCTCCTTCCTTCCTAAACTTGGTGTTATATGGCTTTGAAAATCCCTATGTCTGCGTCAGTGTTTTCTGGTGGTTCTGGTTGAGAGTCGCCGATTGAGCGTCCCGTGGGTGGAGGGGTGCGTAATCCCTCTGTTGATGTAAGCTGAGGCAGGGTGTGGTATTCCCTGTCCTCGGCACCAGTTAGTGCAGTCAACGACGTAAGTGGAGGATTGAGAGTTACCTGAGAATTTGTTATGGTCCAGTACCCTGGTGTGCCTTTCTCGGGTGTATCGTCCGTCCATTGGGGCTCCTTTCCGAGTTGTAGCTCCTTATTGACTCTCCGACTTGTGCCGCTCCTATTCGTGTCCCGTATTCGTTGTGTGTCAATTCTCGCCCTGGTATGCAAGCAGGTTCCTCGTGTTGGCCTATTCATATTGAAATCCTGTGATGTTGTCCGCTCCTGTGAGACACTATTGTCTACGTTATCTATTGGCTCTGCAACTGCTTCCGAGACAAGGAACTTGCCCTTCTGTAGTGCTCTAGCCCGATCAGCTACCGAATTCGGGTCCATTCTACAGAATTGACTCGTTTTTGGTACAAAATGTTCAACTATGGACGCACTTCACTACACTGATGATAACGCATAAGAAAAGAACTCGTTTAGCACAGCAAAATCACAACTATCAACATTCCGAGAAATTCGGATCTCATTCTAGGGTGCGGCTCCGAGTTTCACGGAGCCCTCCAGGCAATCAGCCGAGTATCTTAACCATCTAGACTACAATGGATGCGAACAACTTCTTAATCCGCCGCCGCGATGCACAGCGCGCACGCGTTGCACCACTACTTCGGCCCACCGACCGTCAAATGTCGAATAATGAACAATGGAGCACGAGGAAATCGACCTGGGTTCCTTTAGACAACTTCTAAATCATTCATTACCCCAATTACTTGATTCAAAATATATGTGACATCATAACTCTAGTTCATTTGAGCAGAATTGGATAGAGAAGGAATTTTGAAAAGAACCATATTTTCTCAGTTTGAAAAGAACCATATTTTCTCATCACAACTCTAGTTCATTTGACCAGAATTTGATAGAGAAGAAAGAAAGGTGTATGCCTCATACGAAAAAAGTCTGATTGAATCTCACTTGCTTTTTTTCAGTTTGAAAAGAACCATATTTCTGTTTGTTCTATACAATGACAATTGAGTTGAATGAAAGCATCTTTATTATATAATTCACGGAGCACGATAACTCAAACAAGGTCAAACTGTACCCATTCTACGAATACTTTACAAATGTACTTCACCGTTCCACTTTCTTACAAGATGTGCAGGAAGCAGTCTCCGATGCACAGGCCTGGAAATCCGTTTTTCATATATTTTACATGCCTGTCTGAACACCGCGTACGCCAAATCACCGACTACTCACACTTCATGAGTTAGCCTAACAGAAATCCGCATGAACAGGTTCATAGGAAAAGGCAGCATACCATATGTCATTGTCAGCAGATTTTATTTGAAGAGACACCTACTTGCCAATCAGCTGGTGAGAGCAGCCTGAGCGTGGCCCCGGTAATACTCCGATACGGTTACTGGCTTTGCTCCACCGTAGTTGTCAAGGAGGTAGATGTTCAAAATGTCAAGCTTATAGAAAATCCATTTGTGCCACTTCGGCCAGTCTGCATGTTCAGCAATCAATTCACAATTCTTACCAATCACACATCCTTGACTGTACCATCAAAATAATCCAGAATCTTAACGACATGCTAATTTCAGATATTCACACCTGGCATTTCCGGGTGCTTAGAAAATAGTGCTAGTGCAGCAAAGTCGAGCTCTTGCTGGTCTGTAATCTCCATCATCTGGTTTCAGAACGAAGTTAGAAGTTTCTCTTTTACATCTAATACAAAGGGCGCGAATGGTTTTGCAAAAAATGAACCAAAATACATTCACATGCTATTGCAATACTGAACATACCTTTCCAGATAGAGTTAAGCGAGCACAAGTTGGATTTTCAGGATCAACGCTGCCGCAGGTTCCCAAAGACGCCTCGCTCAAGGTCAAAGAACAACGAGAATCCAAAGTAATATCATTTGGAGTTGGGTCCATCCTGGACAAGTAAAAAAAAGGGGTCCCTCCTGAGCTACCCACCGGGCCATCACTGAAAGCTGCCACGTTCCTGCGATGAAGATACCATCGTTTTAAGGTGAGAATTTCCATCTCCAGTTGCAGTGGACCTTTTGATAAACACGTCCTCTGTTCAACAATGAACCCTAATTGACAGGGCTACCAACATACGGTTACTCAGAGTTCTTAAAAATCACAAGATGTTTTGCAGTACACTAAAGAAGAAACCCAGTCAGAGGTTGTCAAACTTACCCCCAGGGTGCGCCCTCTAAGTGTATCGAGATTGTGCTGCAACATTCCACGACAAGAGCATTTTGTCAGAATCTACACATGCATGGACTACTTTGAGAAACTGCAAACCGCACTCGGATTTCCCTGAAATCTCTCAGGTACCAACCAAACCCTACCAACACTTGTGCTAACGATTCGACTAATCCACGCCTTATGCACTAGAGTTCACTCAACATAACTCAAGAAACAGTAAAAAAAACTACCAACAATAACAAATTCCTGCAAGGACAGTTTCGTCGACCAAGACATGACGATGAAAAGGTAAGAAATCTGCAAAGACTGTCCAGCGTCGCCTATTCTTCAAGAAACGTACGGATTTTTATTAAAGGCAATTCACTCCCATCCGCCATTCACTTCAAACGATAGACACCATAATCCAAAAAGGAATCCGAGACAGAGCATGAGCTTCGACATACCTAAGAACACCCCAAGCACTCTGAGCGACAAGCCACCTTGCCGTTGCCGGAGCATCGGAGGGATCCGGCCTGGAGCTCCCAGGCACCGCCCCAGATGCACAAATCACCAACATCGCCAGAGTAATTGTGATCGTGACGGCCGTCGCCATCGTGATGCCGATCTACGCAAACCACCTGACAGTCGCGACGCAACAAAACCCAAAATTAAGCGCAACCCACAACCGAATTTGAGAATCAAGGGGCTACTTTAACATGCAGCTCTGCTAATCCAGACCGCAAGACAAGCATTCCCTTGTTATCCTGACGCCTCCGAGGTATCGAGCTAAGTGGCGTCTGTACTTCTCTGTCACGGAATTTTTTCCTGCGTAACATACATATGGAACTTACTGTATAGTATCTATTTAGAAGACCTACTGTATTGACCAAATAGCAGCAGAAAAGTGCTCAACGGGTTCGAGAAGTCAGATTGCAGTCCAAAGTGCCTGAGCATTTCGCTGACCCACTGGAAACATGTGCAGAATAAAACTATGAAATAAAATAAAAATGTTTAGATAATCGAATCGGGAGAAATCGTTGAAATTACAGTTGAACTATTTTTGTAACCTGTTGCTGTTATCAGGTCTTAGAAATCCGGGAGAGTTAAAACAATGGCTCTTTTTATGCAGTAAGGAGATTGGTATAGGTAATCCCCCTTTCAGTTAATCTTCCGTTAGCGCTAACTTAAAGGAATTGTTCCAAAAGAGATTGTTCTAAAAGTGGCATTCAAAAGTCACTGATACGGTAAGAAAGTGTAGTTTCTTGAATGTAAGCTAGTCCAACTGTCCTGTGCCGTGACTGTTTTGAGCTCTGGATGCAAAGTTTTTATGCAGTAGAACACCACTTGTGTGATTGTTTTGACCATGATTCCAAGTAGTAACATGAGCGTACATCACAACTGAAGATCTGCCCAAAAGATGGAACATACTAGTTGAAAAACTTGAATTGTTGAGAGCATTAAATATAGCCAATGCTCTCCATAACATTCACTATAGCTACAGTGTTTAGAATGTAGTGGGAAGAAATTATTTATCTTCTTTTCTTTGTATACAAGTGATACAACCACATCAATACACAGTTTTTGTTTAGAAGCTCTTCTTCCTTCTATATACTCTCTTCTGTGTGTGTACACATTATTCCTAGCTACTCTTGTATCTCTCTAAAACATTCTCAACACATTATCAATACAATTACTCCATGCACTACTCTTGGTTCTTAAAAACTTGTATACACCTTTACCTTTGCCTTCCCCTCTTTTTTTTTTTTTTTTTTTTTTTTCTTTTCCTACATTGCATTGCCTTATTTGCTTGTTGCTTGTTGCATCCTACTAGCTGCTTGCTACACCCTACCAACTACTCCTGCTCTTACTTGCCTTTATGACCCTGTGGCCAAACTACTACACCTTGTTGTTTGCAATTGCCATTGCTATCACTATCCATAGTTGTCATTTATCATCTACTGTCTGTTGCTGCTACTACAGTCCATTGTACATCATTGTTTTTGTGGAAAAAAAAACTCCCCAAAATTTTTAACATTTTTGATTTCAAGTTCAACTTTATGGTTTTATTTGACTTTATATTTCAAGGTGCATTTTATTCAACCTTTTTTACTTGATTTTGTATTTTTTTCATAGATTTATTTACAATAAGTACCTCAACATCCTCAACTAACTCTACTATGTTTCTAACTATCACCATTGCATTCCAATATTTTTTAGCTCTTTTATTTCTATCATGGATTGTTCATGGAAATAATTATCTATTATGGACAAAAATGGCAAGAGCAAATTTATTTGCAAAATAATTTTTAGATGCAATTCTATTGAAGAATCTCCTATTGTAAGTACTTCTATTCTTCTTACTATCCATTGGAAAGTACTTCTTTTCTTTTGTTGTTATCTTGTATCTACATTGCAACATCAATATTTGAAAATAGAAGATTCAACCAAGCTTTGAAAGAATCTTAAATCTAAATTTGTTCATCAAAAGACCATTTTCCTTCTACATACACGTCATGATTGAACACATTTATGTATCTTGAATTTTTAAAATTTAAATGCTTTTAACAATGAAATGTATCATATTGTTTCACAACCATAGTTGTATAAACAAAGCAACTTTAAAGAAGAAATGATTGAAAAAAATCTCTCTACATTTCTTCCGACATTTGCTATGCTTGCACAAAAATATAGGAAAATGAAATTTCAAAGTCATCTTGATTTCATGTCCTATCTACTTCTTGCGGAGAAAAAAAATGAGATACTTTTGTATAATATGGAAGCTCATCCTATTGAAACCACAGTTCTAAAATCTCATACACTTAATATTTCAAAGTCTAAGAAAAAATTATACAAACACAAGAAAGGTACTCATAAGCATTGAGGTAGTCATAATTATAACCATTTTTGCCTATATAGAAAGAATAAATATTCTAATACTAATTATAATAGAAAATAAAAATCAAAGATGTCTTCTTGCTATAAATATAGTATGATTGGATATTTAATACATGTGTATTATACTTCAAAATAATTTTTTAAAATATTCAAAGAAAATAAAAAACTTCAAGTTAAAGCTCGTGAAGTTCATACCATAGATGCGTCCATGGACTCAATTGGTATTGATGATTTAGATGCTTATATGAATGACAAAACCTCTAATGTTGAATCAAATGATGCATTTATTGATTTTGCAACAACATATACTATCTTGTGGAATAGATGATCTTTTACTAAAAAATCTTCAACTTGACAAACTAGAAATTTGATGACCATAGCTAGAGCAAATGCGTTTCATTTCTAAGAAAGAACAGTGATGGTAAAATTGCTTACAAGCTCTATCATAAAATATAAACATGCAATATTTGAACTGTTAGTACTTCACTGTCACGGTGTCGGCGTAGAGAGAATTTGCCTCAAGAAAACGTTAAGCTTTTGGCTGTCACTAATTGTTCAATCAAGCTTCAAAATAAGAAAAGCCCTAAGTTTATATATAAATTTTCCCTTTGAGCAATTACACTAAATATACAAGCCTCAAGTAACCATCAACACTCAAAATATGATAAAATCTTCTAAAACCTTGTATATCCTTATGAGGAAATTTTTCCGAACTTCACCACTTTATATCTCCTAATCCGACCGTCAAAACAAACTCAAATTTTACATGAGGTACTGATGTATTCTTATTAACTTCTACAACAAATTTCAATCGCAAATTCGTTGTGGATCTTGAGATATCTTGAAAACCCTAATAGTCACTTCAAACCCTTATCTTTATACACCCGCGTGTAATTTTCTTCATATCTCACAAAATATAAGTTCAAATGCCACGAAATTTGTATGTATAGCTTCTTAACACAAAATTTTACATTTTCCAAAAAAGTTTGAGCCAAAAATTTGTTTGAAAACTCAAGTTATGGCTCCAATCATTACTATAAACAAAACTTCTCACTTATTGCCTTTGATTTGGAAGTGCCGCTTTCAACTCCTTATAACTCCTTTACATAAATTCTAAAAGCAAAAATTCTTTCATAAAAGATGTAGGCCTTAAAATCGCCGTTCCAGCCGCACCTTCCGATCTTCAAAAGCTACTATACAACTCCTCGTATCCTCAAAAGAGTAACAATATGTCTTAAATTAATACCTTAACTTTGAACACCTATATCTCTTTCACAAAAACTCAAAATCACACAAACTCTTCGCCCAAATTATACCCAAAACCCTAAAATTACTGAACCTAGCCTCCAAAGCTCGAATGAATTCGAAAGAGAAACCCTAATCCCTAATAAGGCCTCGGGCAGCCTCCTTGAAGCCCATTGGACATGGCCTTCGACCAATAGGAATGAAGTTTCCCATTCCTTGCCTTCATCCAACCATGTCTTGCTTTTATCCCTCTCAATAAGCCTCCTATTAGTTAAGATTTTCTTCTTTAGGCTTTAATCTCCTCTCAAGGCTTTATACTAAACATTTAGGTTTTACAATTCTTTTAAATGCTATAATAAAAAAAAATAAAACTCAAAATAAAGTTTCTTAAATCCACTCTCTTTAAATTAATCTATTAATCATTCTAACATACATCTAGATTTATTAACATATAATATATTTTAATTAATTTTTACATACTGTAAGCTCTTACAGTACGACAACGGACATATATATTTACCTCAATATTTACTTATGTGATTAAGTAGAAGTAGGTAAAATAGAATAATTTCATAAAGTCTTCTAGGAAAGCTTCCTAGAAGCTTTATAGATGCGGTTTTGACTTTAGATGTATTCATAGGTTAGAAACTTGGTCAAAAAGCTAACCATATATTGGTAGCTTGTGGAACAAGTTACCTCCATATGGTAGCTTGTGGAATAAGCCAACTACGTGGCGCATATATAGATAACTTGCCTTGCAAGATAAGACATGTGGCTAATAAAGTCAACACATGTTGGAGGTCCTATAAGACATTGCTACGTGACTTTTAGTTAGATAGTATATATGGAGGCAAGAGTGAAGCCTTCTTCACTATTGTCAATACCTTTCTAGTCTGAGTCTTGTTCCAAGACTTTCTAGTCTTCTTGTTTTTTGGCAATAGCCATTCTAATTAATATTACATCACCTTTTGAGTGACTTTCTAGTTCTCTTTAGTGATAGAAGAGTGTATTGAGGATTCCCTTTCTTCAAGATTCATGTCCTTGACAGTTTGATAAGAGTGCTAACATATTGTTTGTATCTTGTTCTAGAAATGAGTGGATTATCCCACTTCTATTATTTTATTTTGAAGATTATCGTCTATCCATCTTTAAACAAAAAATCTTGTTTTCTAACACTGATCTTTTCCTTAAAGAGAGTGGATTATTCCTCTTTATGGGATTTTTTTTTGAGAGGTTACGAATTACTCTATTTTAATTTAACTTTTGAATTTATTTGAGTTGTCTATGGAAGGAAAGATTATAGATACTACTCTCAATGGAAGTGAGAATAGATTTACAACTATAGCAGATCTTCATGAACTTATCAATACTCTAAGAGTGGAAATCTCACATATTTTTAATGTGAATCATAGAAGTACTATGCCTACGCTTATGAAAGAAGTACAGAGTCTGCGACAAAAAATTATGCACTTCAAAGAAGCAAGTAGATCAACGTCACAACCAAATCCAGGGAGGTTTGCTTCTACAAGTATGACAGGGACATGGATTAATATGCCTGAGAAGTTTGATGGAACAAGATCAAAATTTCAAGGATTTTTGCAACAAGTCAAGCTCTATCTAAAGTTGCACCCTTTCCAATATCCTAATGGATTTATCCAAGTCGGATTTATAGGTGCACTATTATCAGGAAGTGCTCTCTCTTAGTTTGT